GTTGGGACACATATGATAGCTACAAGCCGAGTCCATCAACCATATGTTTGATGATGTTGATGGATCTGTTGTAACTAATGAGAAGTCCGAATCATCACAATCAGCTACATTTGAATCTATAATGGCCTTTCCATTGTTATGTTTGGCCTTATTCTTCAACTTCGGACAGTCTTTCTTCTAGTGTCCCTTTTCTCGACAAAAGGAACATTCATCTTTGCTGGGTCTAGATCTTGACTTGGATCTTCTCTTCTTTGTCCTTATTTGATTTTGAGGATGACCCCTCACAGCCAGTGCTTCTCCTTCTCCGCCCTTTTATTTTTCTCCCTTTCATTGTTCATAGCTATACAAAGCCGAACAAACTTCTCTAAGAGAAATTATGTAATTCCCATGGAGTAGAGTAGTTTCAAGGTGCTCGTACTCATCAGGAAGTGACCCCAACAACATCAAGGCCAAGTCACCATCATCAAAAATTGCATCCATATTTTGCAAATTTGTGACCAACTTATTGAAACTGGTGATATGTTCGTTCATTATCGTACCAGGAACATAGGTGAAGCGAAAGAGTCTCTTTTTCATGTACAATTTATTTTGACTATTTTTCTTCAAAAATATTTCCTTCAGTGGTTTCCATAATTTACTTGCAGAAGTTTCCTTTGTGTATGGATATTTCTGCTCTCTAGCAAGGTAGGATCGAATGGTACCGCAAGCAACACAGTTGATAATTCTCCAATAACATCTGGGTTTTTTTCTTCAATGGGAAGATCTAGCCCTTGTTGAAAAAAGACATCTAGAACCTCGTCTTGCTACATCCCAAAATGTCCTGACCCGTCAAAAATTTCTACCGCAAATTTCGTATTTGACACAATTCTTGTAATAAGCGAAGATGCCAATGATGACGTATTGTTGATACTTGATGTAGATTCTTTTTGTTTATTGTCTCCCATCTTTGACACAAATATTATTTAATAGCTGACGACACAAATCAAGATTATTTCCTTTCTGTTGTGGAAGATCAGACTAAGCTGCAACCACAGAGCATACTCAGACAAAACTTTGACTCAGTTACCACGATAAATCTTTTCTGATGTGGAAGATCAGACTATGCTGCAACTACAGAGCATACTTAGATAGTACCTTGGCTCTGATACCAATTGTTGCGGAAGCCAAATGTATATAGTGTGTATGAGTCACAACTACTATACCAAAAATTATGACAACCACCAAATAATAAATAAGACAATAAAGCAACAATAAAAGGAATACCAGAATTTATGAGGTTCGACCAATTTTGCCTACTTCCTCGGACACAGCCAATATTTTATTCCACTCCAAAAATACAAGTGAAATAATACTAAAGAGAGAAGATACAAATGCCTTAAGAAGATAAGAATGCAAATGAGAGGTGTGTCTAAATCCTAAACATTAGGCCTCCTTTTATCGGAAAAAATTCCATACCAAATGGCTAAACCACCAATGTAGGATTTGCCAAATTCAACACACATGTTCATATATGATGAAATTGAAATAGATATTTATTAGTCAACTCTTTTCTTTATTCTAGGTTGACATGAATCTCTCAAAATCTTAGAAGTCTGAAATGGTATCAACTTCGAAAACTGTTAAATATGCACACATTCCACCTGGTGCCTTAGCAATGGGACAGGGGAAAAGCTTCAGAGCTTTGGGTTCTGTAAGAATAAATGCTGAACAGAGAACTTCAATTGGCGAAGGTAAAAACTACAATGTAGTAGCTTCTGATCAGAATAAGCTAGCTCAGAAAGATTGTCTCATGCCTCCTGGTTTTGATCCAATATTGGAATGCGATGCTTCCCTCCCTCATGAAGAAGCGATGCAATATATTGAGAGAAGCAAAATAAGTATATTATTGTTTTAAGTTATAATTTTTTATTGTTTGTTATTGTTCTGGATTTTTTTATATGTTAGACTTAATTGAGATTAACAAGGCCATATGAATCTAAAAAAGGCAAAAAAAGTGAGATGAAAGAACAGATGTAAAAATATTGTATTGCAGGACTCAAAGCTGGAGAAAAGTTAAGTCACTTTTTACGACAATCGAGTTGTTGGGAAGAATCATGTCTTATTTATGAGAAACTTAGGTAAATTAGTTCGTGATCGAAATATGTGCCCATTGCGCATACACTCATGGGCGGAAATAGAAGAATATAAGCTGGAGCACATGTGACAAGTTGTTACGGTAAGAATTTAAAGTTTTATTTTCTTGATTTGCCTTCTTCATTTCTTCTTTAAAAAATGAAAAGGAAATACTGTGAGCTTACATCATGCATTGGTCGGTTGATTTTACCATATTCAAATTTCAATTGCAATTGTACAGTCAAGTCGGAGATAGACGACTTTCCTCTTCTACTTGACTTAAACCATGACTCTTCTTGAAGTATACGCTACAAGTTATTTTCATTTATATTATGAGTTTAATTCTAAATGAATGAAATGGTTTATGTTATCTCCCTTATTTTTAAAGAATGTTGCTTCTAGAAGCTCACTCTATTGTACACAAAAGTATCCCAAAAAGATAAACAGTACATTATGAAGGTAGTGATTGAGACTCTTTGAAAGAATGCTAGTCTTTGTAAAACACACATAATTTGCTTTAGTGTTTCTTTTCTTTTCCTGGATTAGTAAAAATCTATTAAATTACTCCCAAGAAATACTAGTAAATGAATTATAGAAGTTTCTGTCATTGTTTAAAGAATTTAGTAGTATGGAATTTTTCACCTTCCTAATTGAACTTCATTATGTTAAAATCCGCTCTTTGGTTTCTCTCTGTTTCCTCGATCCTATGCCAATGGCAGAGGGCATGGAACAAGAGAAACATGTGCTCTTCATACTACCAGACTTTTTGTAGACACTTTGGTAGACTTTTGGACTGCCCTTGGCGAAGAGACACGTCAGTCTCTTCTGAAAATGAAGGAAGAGAGCCCTTTCTTCAGTTTGCTCTCCTTACTTACTGCTATCCCCTCTTTCCGTCACACCCATTAAATGTAATTTAGACATTAGATGCGTGGAATGGGCAACTGCAGTTAACTCTAGAATTGCAAGTTTAGTTGAGGGGTTCCATTATTTTGAAGTCTCATCCTATAAAGAATAATGGCGTGCAGATCAGGTGGCTTCTGGATTTGTACTGTTCAAACTCTGGTCTTAGCACTTGGCTTCTTTAAGTTAACAGCCATACAGACTGACTAACTGGAGCAACAACAACAACTATGTCTCGGTCCCAAACAAGTTGGGTTGGCAATATGAATCCTCATTTCTTTCTTTAACCTCAACTCATATCATCATCATTACCAAAATATAGTAAAAATAATGGAGTTTCACTTGAAGTTATAAATTGTTTTAAAAGGTGAATGATTAGTATTAAATGTAGATATGTTTATAAAAGATCAATTTCACTTACTTGAAAAAGATTAATCTTGCACTTTAGTCATTAAAAAGATTGTGTGACTTATTTATTTAAATGTGAAGGGAGGCAAAGATGGTAACCCCCAGGTATGGCAACTATCTTCTTTGAGACTCGCAAGAAAGACGATAAGCTTGTCGAACCTGAAACCAATGAAAACTATGCATGTTTATTGATTAATTTTATTTTACATGATTTTAATTTTTATGTTATATTATTTTAAATTGTCTTATAATTTATAGGCTAAGATCCAAAAATTGGTGCAATCTGAATCGTCTCTTACATATATTGAGATTGTAGAAAGGTGTTTCGGACCTCAACGCAAGAGTCATATAGTTAGATTTCGTGGTGGGATTACTGCTAAGGTGTTAAAATGCGGTGACTCCTCGAAAGCTGCATTGCTAGAGAAGTTGAATGCTACTGAAAAAGAAAATGAATCGCTTAACGGACACATGGAAGGGCTAGAGAATAAATGTGAAGATCTAGAGAGTAAATATGCAGAACTTACAAGTGCAGTGTTTAATCAGGCTTCATCATCATCTTGAAGTGAACAATAGATTGAAGCATTTAACAGGTTAGTAGATTGAAAATCCTATTATACTCTGTGATGAATTTGTTGCAATGCTCATGTGAATTTTTTCCATTACATCAACAACAACAACCCACTAGAATTCCAAAAGGGGGGTCTGGGGGTAGAGTGCACGCATACCTTACCCCTGTCTCGGAGGGTTAGAGAGGTTATTTCCGGGAGACCCTTGGCTCAGAAACAAATAAATCCGTAACTAAGTATATGTTGATAGAGCAGGGAAAAAAAAATGAAGTGTAGCAATCATCAAACTAGAATTTAATGCGGGAAGTTCTTTACACAAACTAGTAAAGCATATGCATATCATAATTTCTTAGTTAAGCAATACCAATAGGACAATATTTCACTAAGAACATTATACATATCTAATAAAATTGCAAAAAGCAGCAGAGACAGTCTTACTAGCCTCTCTAACAGGGTGAAAGGGAACATCAGATCCTCCAGCAACCTCAACAGCAACAACTCCAGCTAATTGATAAAAATCAACATTACATTACATTAAGGTTACATTCCATTCCATTACATTAAGGTTTATTAATTTAAACAAAACATAGTCATCGAGACAAGTGAATTTATAAGTAAGAATCAAGTTCCATACCTAATATCACCTATAGTTGTAATAATCTAGCTCAATGAACAGATAACTCACGAAATAATAGACCTCAAAGTAGAACTAAAAGGTAAGTTGCAAAGAAAAGTTTGGTATATGAACAAGTAATCACTGGCTCTTTATTGAGGTTTGATTTAAAGTCATAATCGACTCTTTCTCAAAAGCTTCTTTATGATTTTTGTATATCAATCGCTTTTCCCTGTTATGTGTAGAATTGCATGAATCTCTATATAAGGCTTGCTTCCTAGAAAATGATACTTCATTGTGCAGGTTTAAGTATGACAAGATTGTGTGATTTTTGTATATCAACCGCTTGTCCCTGTTATGTATAGAATTACATATAATTCTATCATCAATCTTCAGATTATTGTCCGCGGACATAGGAAATGTAATGCGTCATTTTTCTGCTAAAAAAGAAAAACAAATGACACCCTAATAGGTATTTTTACGCTACAACTTCTTTCAAAAAATGGTACTAAATGGCATACAGATAGTTTTGGGTTGGCATTGTTTTGGACACCACTCAGGTAGTACGAAAAGCTTATAATTATCAAAAGTGTGTTTTCTCTCATATATTTAATTGGAAAGTTGATCTGTTATACTGTGTGCTTCTATACTGTAAATCTTACGTTTGCTAGAAGTTGCATACAGCTGTGTGCTAGATTCCATTAATAGTATACTTTGTGATGAAATTATTGCAATGATCATGTGAATTTTTTTCCATCATTAAGGTTTATGAATTTAAATTAAAATATAGTCATCGAGACAAGTGAATTTATAAGCAGGAATAAAGTTCCATAACCAATATCAACTAGAGTTGTCATAATCTAGCTCAATGAACAGAGAAGTGATGAAATAATGGACCTCAAAGCAGAACCAAAAGGTGAGTTGTAAAGAAAAATTTAGTATATGAACAAGTAATCACTCATTTTTCATTGAGACTTGATTTGGAGTTATTATCGACTCTTTCTCAAAAGTTTCTATATGATTTTTGTATCTCAATCGCTTGTCCCCATTATGTGTAGAATAACATGAAACTGTATATTGGATTTACTTCACAGAATATGACATTTCGTTGTGCGGGTTTTAATATGACTAGGATTGTGTGATTTGCATTTTCCACAAACATAGGAAATATAATGCGCCATTTTTCTGCTACAATATTTTCTACTGTTATGTCATCTGATGATTGAATAATTTTACTATGGCGATCAGTGTAGGCTTTAATGAATCTTATCTTTTTCTTTAATTGTTTATTCTGTGTTAGTAAACTGACATAAATTTATTGTTTTAACAGATCAAAAATTTGATGTCCGAAGAACCTATTTTTGAAGAAAGTGCATAGCAAGTTGAAGAACAAGAGAATTTTGTTATGCTAGGGATGGTTTGAAGGCACTGTCTTTTGTACATATGCTCCAATTTTATTTTTTCTCTTTTAGAAATTGTTAAAAATGATGTTATACTATTTGGATTGCTTTCTGGTAATGTGATGCTTAGTTCTTTATATTAACAAATATCAATTATTTGTTTTATTTTCAAATATTTCTGGTGTGTATGAAAGCATATAAAATAAGTATTACTATTGGTGAAATATAAATTTTCGTAATGTGATCCTCATAACTCTTTAACAACAGGTTTCTCAAATAGTTTAATAGGCATTAACGAATGAAAATTTGGCTGTTAAATGTAATCATACAATTAACGAAAGGACTTTCGGCCGCTAAAAACACTTGTAAAGACCAAATTAACTTTCGTAATTGAAGACTTTTAACGATTGGATGACAAATTAGCGAGGAAAAAATCTCGTCGCTAAAAATGATGTATAACGACCGGAAATTATGTCGTCGCTAAAGGATCTTTAACGATCAGGTTGAAAATCCATCGTTAACTTTTAACGTCGGGGCTTTTAACAATCGGAGATGATCGGAATTTTCTCGATCGTTATTGACTTATAGCGACCAGAATTGGATTTTTAACGATCATATTTTCCGTAGCTAAAGGCCAGTATTCTTGTAGTCATAGTGGCCCTACTTTGTTGATTTATGCGTTTTCACCATATTATAAAGTAATTTAGCTGTACATCATTCTAGATATCATGTTTAGGCTTTATACTGCAATTGTTGGGACCCATAATGGTCATTTCTTGGTGTCATCTCAATGATTTCATTGCTATTCCGTACTCCATCATATTCATACATTCATTTCATATCATATCTCAGTCTCAATTGCTACTTATTGATACATCATATCATTGTTCCGAGTCAGTTTTCATGACATTGTGAGCCCGTGGGTGAGACTGTACACTTATCGGATCGGGATGCATGCCGTAGTGGTTATTCTGAATTATGATAAAACTTGGGCTGAAGGAGCCCCTTCGGAGTCTGTACACACCCCCAGTGAGCATGGGTTATTATATTAATGGATGGATCTTCCCTGGACTTGGAGATGGATCCACCTCTACGTATATATAAATGCTCGGTATGGATCTTCCCTGGGCCACATGGGCCATATACAGTACCAAGTGGTTGAGCATTTATATATAACTAGAGGTGGATCTTCTCCATAGGGCAAGATTGTCCTTCCTCGATACTGAGTGACTGATGGTCAGTGATGTATTTATATTCCGGGATGGATCTTTCCTGAGTTGTATGAGCCATATACAGTGCCGAGTGGTTGAGCATTTTTGAGTGGAGAGTGTGAGTTCATGTTTCATCTCTGGGATACATGGCATTGACATGCATACATGACATACATGCATAGAGATGCATTCTTCCTCGTACTGTACGATATCACGTCGTTCATGATTTCTTTTACATACATTGATATGTGGGCATAGAGAGGTATTTCACACTTTCCATTTGGAAAGAATAGGAAACATCTTATTCATTGTGGGAAGGATTTTTGGGAATAATTGTAGTTTTCAAACTATGTCGTACTTTTTGAAGATTTTGATAAAGGAGTGGGTTTTCACTGATATTCTTAAAAAGCAGAACTATTTTTTTGAAAACGGTGAAAAATGCTGAGCATTTTATCTCTGAGTTACTTCCATATTTATATGCTCTATGTTGTTATGAATTGTTGTTGGCTACTGGTTTTGGACCCGACCATGTTCCAGCTCGTCAATGATTTCAACCTAAGTTTAGGTTTGTTACTTATTGAGTACATAGGGTCGGTTGTACTCATACTATACTTTCTGCACATTGCGTGCAGATTTCGGATGCCGTTGTTGCTATGCATGGCGGAAGCTTGCATTGAAGGTTTACTTGCATCCTTGTTGTAGTTACCTCTTGTTCATGGTAGCCTTACATTTATAAACACTATTTATGTACTTTTCAAACAAACGATGTATTTATTCATATCCGCTTGTAAATTTTATTCTTAGAAGCTCATGATTGTACTACCAGTCATTGGAAATTATTTAAGATTCAGATAATTTATTTTCATAAATTGTTTTATTAAATACTATTGGAATTGGATAGTATAGTTGGCTCACCTAGCGGGTTGAGTTAGGTGCCATCACGACTAGTGGATTTTGGGCCCTGACATATTTTGAAGTTTTCAGCTTGTTAAAAAAAAATATTGTGTAGCTAGTGTTGGCTTGCCAAGAAAGTGAACGTTAGGCGCCATCACGACCTCATGGTTGGGATTTCGGACCATGACACTTAATGAGTCATGTGTCTGGTGTGATGAAATTTTTATATAGTCCATATTATTATATTTGAGTCTGAAACTTCCCCAGAATATTAGTTGAACGAAATTTTAGGTGTTGCTTGCTTTTAAATCTAATTTTAGGCGTTCTTTTGCCTTTTGTTGATCTTGTTGCTATCACAAATAAAATGATGGATAGTTAGCCCTTTTAGCCTTTAGTTTGTTACCCATATTACAAACCTATACACTTTTGTTCTTAATTGAATCGTTTTACCTCTTAAAACACTTGAATTGTAAAGGTGAGGACTAGAAAGAAACAATGAGGGAACTTGGGGTAGCTACTGAGTGGAACCAATAAAAGGAAGAAAAATGCAATTGTATCTTAAAGCCACTAGCGAGGAGTTCAAAGTACAAAAAAAGCTAAACGGGGGACGGGAGGGGGGGGGTGTAGAAGAAAAAGAAATAAGTACATCTCTTCTTTTCTAGTGAATGTAGCAAAAAGAGGTGCTTAAAAAAAGAGAGAACATTTTGAGGTGATCTTGTTGATGATATTTGAAGATTGGATTAAAGAAAGTTGTGCTTAGAGTGATTATGTGATGTGTTAAAGTCCTTGGGAGGGTTAGCCATTATCATCTTTATTTATCCTAGCCAACCCTTAGTCCACACTACGACCTTGAAACAGTCCTAATTGATTTTAGAATGAGCATAGCTACATTAGTAGAGGTTTATACAATGGCCAAGCCTATAGTACCTTTTATACATTCCTAATTGATTTTATACTGAACATACATACATAAGTAGAGATTTATATAAAGGGCAAGCCTATGGTACCTTTTGCATGCATATGTGAGAGTGGGTAATTATTTCATATGGTTGAGTCCTTAAAGTACATTTAAGCATTCGATTTGTATGTGTAGAATGCTTATTCATTCAATTTTATTTTGAGGGAACATAGTTTTACGCTGGATAGCTCAAGTTATTGGATTTCTTGGTTATAGTGAGTTTCAAGCCATGACTGCTTTGTGACATAAGTTAGTTTGCGAGGCTAGGTTATTCTGAGATTCTTGTCTAAGTAGTTTGAATATTTTAAATGAATTAGGCATGAGAACTGGGAAGTGTGTACAGAATACAGATGCTAGATTAAATGTTGCTATCGACCATGACCATGGCTGTAGTATGCTTTGAATTTGTGATTTTGTGAGGTGCTTCAAAATAGAGTAGTTAGTTGGTTGACTTGAGGGAGAGCAATGCTTAAGTGTGGTGTAGTGATGTTTTCGATAAGTCTATTTTTATGACATTACTTGCCTTACATTATGATGTAATTGTTACGCCCGCAATATTACGTCGATATTTCGTTCCGCAGTATTATGTTACGATGATGTTACGCCTTGCAGTACTACATTACGATGATGGTACACTTCTCAGTATTAAATTACGACAATGTTGCACCCTGTAGTATTGTACGTTTAATTTGTCGTAAGGTAATTGACACAAGTCCAGGGAAAGGATTGTTTGGAGATTATAAAGATTATGCTATTACAAATAAGTGATGAGTAAATTCGTGAAGGTGAGAAGGGAAGCAAGTCAAAGAAAATGAATTTTCATCCAAGTTTGGCATGTTGAGCTAAAATACGGGCCGAGCGTGTTAAAATCCGATATTTATGGACTAATACCATACAAGGTACTATATGACGATGATAGTATGATATATAAATGGGTATTAAAAATAAGTAGATCTTTAAGTAATTTGAGATAATTCGTAATTATGTGGATAATTGATTAGTTGTGGGGATAATTATGGTATTAAACACTACCCTAATTAAGATAATTCTTAATTATGGTATTAATTATAATAATTAAGTGGATAAAGATTATTTTGTGGCTGCCACATGGCATTCAACTAAGCCAAAGTGGCAACAACGTTCATAATGAAAGACATATGATGCCTTGTTTACACGAAAAAATTCTTGGAATTACCTTGGATTGGTTTCTTATTTGGTAAAGTTTCGTATGTATGTTAATTTACACAAGGCTAAAGTAGATGGGTTCTGCTACATTTCACTCCCTTTCTAATGAAAGATTGCCTTTAAGCCTAAACAAATAGGTACATATTTTGGCAAGTGGGAAAGACATATTTTACATAGAGAAGCTTTAATCTCCTAGGAGTTGGATATGTTTATCACTTTGCATCATTATGGATATGAATTAGTCCAGCAACGTTGATGCTAAACTTGCTAACGGATGAAGCTCAAATAGCTCGTTTGAAACTTCATAATACGATAAAGCGTGAGATTTGTGATTCTAAAGGAGTATGGCAATCTTTCTCAAAAATATCATACGGATTTTCCCTACTTCGATCCGTCGTTACGTGATTTGTCGTAATTGACGTATGTTAGAGGGATTGTCAAGAGTATCAGCCAGGCATGTTAAGATTATCCCTTATTTCTTTTGGCATGATCCATACGATACAAACGAAATGAGAAAATGCACAACTTTCATAAATGACTCTACTCATAGAAATACTAGAGATACTTACGTTCTTGATTCCCCATGTGTCATATTACTCTATCATCTGTTCATGGGTCTCCAAAAATACGTAAGTTGTTAAAGTTTATTTCATGATATTAATCAGAGGCATAACGGTATTATGACGTGCCGAGAGATTTTATTAACATATTTTTACATGCATTAACATATGCACATTGACGCATGACCAGATGGCGTTATATACGCATATATATATATATATATATGTATGTATGTATGTGTGTCCGTGTGTGTGTATGGGATATGGGAAAGGTTATGGCATTATATATGCACCACCACCTGATCAGCTGGTATACGTTGATGATTTTG